AGTTCTTACCGTGATGCATGCTGGTGCCCCCTCTACCACCTCCCACTCAATCTGCCTCCTTTGCTCTGCTTGCACTCTCTCCTCCTGCGTTGAATGTTTCGCCACTGGCAAAACCACCTCTGACGCAACTTGTACTTTCTCTGCTGCTCGCACTCTCCCCTCCTGCATTGAAGTTTGACACGCCTCCAAAACCACCTCCATCGCAACTGATTGTCTCACTGCTGTTTGCACTCTCTCCTTCTGCACTGATCCTGCAACCTCACTCGTCCCTCCCACTACAGGCCCTGCCTCTTGCATCTCTTCCCTTGCTCCAAGTGCCCCTTTTGCAATCATTTCACCACCTCGCGCTGCTTCTGCCCCCAAAACACCCCCCCTTTCGCCCAGCGCATTTGCTCCGCTACAGCCCAGCAACTCCTTGGGCGCAACCTGCTCTACCATGGGCGGAGATGACAGTGGGCACTCTACAACCTCCCTACTCTCATTCCTGCCCCCACTGCTCTTCCCCGCGCCACTGCTGTTTTCCGCGCCACTGCTCTTCCCCCCGCCACTGCTGTTCTCCGCGCCACTGCCCTTTTCCGCGCCACCACTTCTCTCATCCCTTCTGTCCTGCCTTCGTCCCTGTCTCAAACTGTGACACTCCTCCTTCGCTCCACCACCCCAATTACTCTCCTCGCCACCTGCTTCCCCGTCCCGCTCATCATCACTCTCACTCAACAAATCAATTGCATCGCTCCTGTTCAACCCCAACCCTGACGCCGTCCTTCGCGCTTCCTCCGCGCAACCCTGCGCGTCCATTGCGACGGGCTCGCTTCGCTCCTCGTGCACGCGCGTGCGCTCGGGTGCGGACTGCGACTTGAGAAGCAATTCTACCTCAGGTGATTTTTCAGGTGCCTCAAAAATTTCCTCGTGCACGTGTGTGAGCTGGGGTGCAGGCTGCGACTTGGGCAATAGCTCTTCCTCAGGTGTCCCATCACTGCCGCTCTGCTCCTCACCCATCACTCCGTCCCCTTCTCTCGCCCCGTCATCGCCCTCTCGCGCCCCTCGATCTTTCCCCCTCGCCCCGCCGTCTTCCCCATGCGCCCCTCCATCCGCCCTCCTCGCCCCTCCGTCCCCCCTCGCCTCTCCACCCGCCCCCCTCGCCTCTCCATCCTTCACCCTTTCCCCTCCATCCTCCTGTATCGCTGTATCTCCACCTCCCAATGCTTTCCGAGTCGACCCAAACGCCACGCAAGCTTCCGCATTCAGCCGCGTACTATGCTCCTCCCTTGCCTCCCCCGTCTGTCGCTCCAGTTCGTCTGCTTTTTGCTGACTCCCTCCAATAACATTACCGCGTGCTACTATAGCGCATCCGTCACGTGACCGCGGCGTGCGCGCGCTCGCTAATATCACAGTTACTACAGTCCCCGCTCGATTTTTCTGTCGAGATTCAGGCTGGCTTTTGGATCGCTGTAGCTTCGCGGAAAGACCGCACTTGAGACCCTGTGACAATATCGAAGGGTGTCGGGGGATGCCAGAAAAGGGAGTCCCCTTATCGCGGCCCTTATCCCCGCTTATCCCGTCACTACTCCTGTCACCCGTTTCTTCAATCACAACTCGAAACCCCAGCGGATGACCAAACCCAGCGTCCTCGAGCCGCCCATTCGTTACAGGCACGACGAACGACACCTCGCTACCGCTCGTTAAAGCCACGGGACGACTCGCATCCACGAGCCTGCCGTTGACGTAGGTTCCGTTCGTCGAGCGTGCTACTATCGAGGATGGCGCCAGCGGCTGTAACGAAGCGCCGTTCACACACCACGATTGCGCTCCCGGAAACGCGAGGAATTTGGGACAAGCCCCTACGCTTCGACTTCGCCGATAAGGAGACTTAGTAAACGGCGGGGAACGGAGCGCCGCGGCAGACTCTTGAGAAGCCGCAAAAGCCGCCGAAACGGGCTCGGCAGCTGCAACCGAAATTCCTCCTTTACTTGCGCGATCGGTGAAAGGAGCGGGCAAGTGGGGAGGAGGGCCGCGGAACCGTTGGTGCGGGATTGGCGGTGGCGGAGGATTCACGGAGCGCGAGTGGCCTGCCAGTCGACGTCGCTTGAGCGGCAACTGCGCGGTTTCGTCCGCAACGCGGTCTGCTAGTCCGTCCTCGACCTCTAGCTGCTTCCTCGCTGCTGACTTCGCTATTTGCGGCTCGGGACACGCGATTGTCTCTTGCGCGCCTTCGCGCGACTCCACGGCGTGTGGCGACTCGCCACGGTGCGGCGGTGGGTGGTTCGCATGAATAGTCTCCTTGAGCTCATGCGATGCGTCAGGGTAGGAACTAAAATCGGTGTCGGGCTGCGTCTGCATTCCTAGAGAGTCCGGCTGACTGTAAGCATGCATGGCTCCTGATTGGCTGGCTTCTGCGGCTTCTGATTGGCTGGCTTCCGCGGCTCCTAATTGGCTGGCTTCCGCGATTCCAGGTTGGCTGCTTATTGCGGCATTTGTTTGGCTGGCTATCGCGGCACCTGATTGGCTGGTTCCGTCCACGAGAAACAGTTTGCCCGTCTGCGCACACCAGAAGAAGCCGCACTGAATGCGGCTGACGCGGGAGTCTAGAAAGATGACGTCACATTGTGACCGCGACCGCCCCACGCGGAGGAGCGAATTGGGGCGGAGTGGGATGGTGGTGACTTTAACGAGGCCGCTGTCGCGAGAGGTAGCAGGCACGAAGCATGGGGAGAGGGCGTGAAGGTGAATGTCGAATTGGCCGTTCGTCATTGTTGAGCTTCTTACGCGGTCTTGAAAAAAGGAGGGAGGGGAGTTAGCAGTCTTACTAAGTCCCGTCCTAACGATACGTGCAAGCAAAAAGGTGTTGGTGCCTGCTGTTCCGCAGTTGTGACTGGAGCAGAAAGGTGTTGGGTTGGTGGTGTAGGTGAGCAATGGTGGTGAGTGCTCAGCTTCGGCCTCGACTCCATGGTTTGATTGTCCATGCGCCCAAGATGGATGGGACACAATTGAGGTGGGTCTACGGTTGGATGAAGCTTCAGCGTGATCGGACGGTAATGAGCCGCCGTATGTGGTCGTACATTCCCTTGGGATTCCAGTTTGAATGCTCGAAGTTCAGGAGCCCAAGAAGTTTGGCGGGAAACAGGATTTACAGGCAGTGTGTTGAACACGCTTCCGAAGCCAAAAGCAATTTAACCATGCGGTGTACCTCAGCTTGTAGTGTGCTTCTTGAACCATAGAAGATAATTTGGCTCCATGGTATGGGGAAGGTGAGGTGATATATTGGCTCCATGCTATGGGTAGGTTGAGGTGATATATATGCTCTAGATAACCTTAATACAATTATTATGTAATCGGGAGAATCCGCACAGCGCAATGCATGAATTGCAAAGTGGTGCTTTAAATTGTGGATTAAAAATGATTCTATTATTCACATGTTCTGGTTCTATAAAATTTATTTTGATTATGCCATAGGTGTGCCTCAGTGTGATTTTCCGCTTCACGCTTAAATGGATTATGGAAGAAATAAGGCAAGCACTTTGAAACGCCATTCAGAATAGTTGTGACCGAATTTCCAGTTGTAATAAAGTAGTGTGCATCGAGGATTCTGCCTGGGACAGTCTGGCTAATTGCACATGGACACCGCGGACATGTTTGTTCCAGATCCACGCACCATCTCCAGCTATATCTGCCATACCCGATAGTGCTGGAGGTCGTTCTATTGGTACACAGTTTCGATACTTGTTGATTTCCTGCCTTCCAGCCAATAATCTTCAATCATACGTCGGTTGAAACGCCTGTCGCGGCTGGGAGCCTCGTAGTCCTGACGCTTCGTGTTTCCATCTACATTCATGACCAAATTCTGCACAGGTATATTACGGGCAGTTACTGTTTCAAGCTGCGACATATAATTGCTTAAAACAGATCAAAGTTTGGGAAATCGTGCACAAAATGGACTGGTTGAATGATTACCAGCTTCTATCTAGGATATGCAAATGACAATTCTCTATATTTCGTTGCCAGGGAGTCCACTGGTCAAAAATATTCCGCACGGGAACATGCATCGCGCCTTCCATTTGCAATTCGTCAAAACCTCCACCTTCCATTTGCCAGGAACATCGAGTCGCGCTTCCTTCTTACCTCTGGTACTGCAAGCATGGCCGCGCGTTGGCAGACGATTATGAATCACAGAACAGCAGAGGAGCCACTCCAGGCACGCTTGAAACGTCAATTGTGCTCTAATCCACCTTGGCGCATCGCGTGTCCTCTCCCGCCTCCTCATACAGAACCGCCTCCTGGAATCGTCCCGTCGGCGTGAAGCCCTGACTCCATTGCATATAATTCTTCCGTCTTGCTCTTCGAAGTAGATGTGCTGCGGTTCCTGTGAATACGCCTCAGTGTTCTCGCCTTTCCGCCCGACAATCGCGTCAAGCACGCAGCACAATTGCGCAGTTCGCACACGCACGGCTGCTGCCTTCCTTCCCTCATCAGGAATACTCCACTTGAATTAGCTCTCCACTCCTCAACTCACCCAATTTCCACAGCTGCTGTCGCGAACACTCTCGTTCACCTACTACTCCTGAAAAACAAATTACTACTCGTACAGTCGGCGCGTCCCCGCTGTCGCAATCCATCGATTAAGACCAGACATTCGAGGAGACGACGACAGCAAACTCGACCAGAACAACACGACGAACAGCATACCACCATGTCGCCTCTGCTGCTCAGTCCACGGTCCCTGCAGCTCCAGCATCCATCAGCGTGTCTGCGGAGTACCACCGTGCGCGCCTCACACGGTGTGCTAATAACATGCGGCCCCGGGCCGCAGCAGTCCCCGACGAGCAGTCCAACATCGCGCTCCCCTAAAAGCCCCTCCGCAGTCCGCAACGGACGAGCCGCGTTTCAAGCTCCGACGTTCCTCCTCTCCTCGTCCTCCTCGCTTCTTCATGCCTACCCCTCCTCTCCTCGCACCCTCGACACCAAACCGCTTCTTCCCGGCGCCGCCGGCGCCGTAATTGGCGGCAATGGCGGATACGGCGGCACGGGGAAATCCGCTCTGGGCTTCAAGGTTAGCGAATTCACCGGCTCGCAACTTCAAGCTCCGGAGAGTCTTCCCCGCGTTCTCCGCGGATCCTCCGCCGTGGACGCTTCCTCCCCTGCGCGCAACGACGTCCTTGCGACTGTGGGCGGAAGCCATGGACGACGATCGCCGCGGTGCGCGGAGGTGCGGCGCAGCGGCGGCGCTTCCGCCGGTGCGGGTTTATGCGCGCGCGGTGGAGTGCGCAAGGCGGCGCGAAGGGGGAGCAGGACCTGCGCAACGCAGGCGGAAGAGGCGCAGGGGAAGGTGGTGGGAAGGGGGTTCAATGCGCGCGTGCTGGTGGACGCGGGTGCGCTCGACGAGACGCGATTTCGCGCGTTGCGCAAGAGGCGAATCGTATTTGGGCACGATGACTGGAAGGTGAGGTGCTGCCACGCTGCAGCGCTGCTAGCCAGAATGAGCACCCACCGCGCCCGCCCGATTCCGAGTAGCGCCACTTCCGCCGCAACACTCTCAATTCGCACCCTGTCCACCTCCCCTGTCCATTCTCGACTTGCTTTCCTATTACATGCATCCACCCTCTCCTTTGTCCTTCTACTTACCGCTCTCCCTCCCAATCCTCGGCACCGAACCCCCTTTTCCCTTCCCTCTTCTTCCCCCCTCTCCCCAAATTTACCGCCTTCCCCCCCAGAGGCACGCGTCATCCTTCCGCCACAACCGGCACTTCCGCAACCTCCTCCGCTCGAACGTCGTCGGCGCGGTCATCCCGCCCGCGCTCACCGTCGCCGCGGTCGCCGCCGGCGTTACCGCGTGGAACACGCTGGTCGCGGGGAATCCGGCGGAACTCGTGCCGTTGGGAACGGTGGCGGCGACGGTGGCGGCGGGGGCGGCGGCGGCGGCGGGCGCTGGGGCGGGAGGCGCGGAGGGCGCGGCGGCGGGGGCGGGGGAGCTCCTCCCGCTATTGCACATGGATCTGCTGCCCTTCAGCCTGACGGTTCCCGCGCTGACGTTCCTGCTCGTGTTCCGCACTAACTCGAGCTATGGGCGATTCGACGAGGTACGCGCGTGGGTTGCGGGGAGAAGGCGCTACGTGGTGGGGAAGGAAGGGGGGAAGGAGGGTGCTGAGGATGATATGGGGTGGTTAGCGATTGAATCTTACCAACACTGGCCCCTCCACAACCCCTTTCTTCTCCTCCCCCGTTCCTTTGCTTCTTCACTCCCGTTTCCAATAGTCCCCTCCCACCCTTTTTCCCCTCTCCTCCCTCCTCTCCCCACTTCTCCTTCCCCCTTCCCTCCCCACGTCCTCTTCCCACGGTGTGACTGCAGGCGCGCAAGATGAGGCGGTTAATGCTCAACCGCACCCGAGATACCTCCCCGCCAGGCCCTTTGCTACATGGCCGCGACAGCCCCGCCCCTCTCCCACCTACTCCCCCACTTCATCATCTCCCCTTTCTTCCCTTCCTCTCCCTCTCCGATACCTGCAGGCGCGCAAGATGTGGGGGTTGATGTTCAACCGCACCCGAGACGTGTCTCGCCAGGCCCTCTGCTACATGGGCCGCGACAACCCCGCCCCTCTCTCCCCCAAACTTCTCCCACTTCATCCTCTCCCCTTCTTCCCCTTTCCTCTCCCTCTCCCATACCTGCAGGCGCGCAAGATGTGGGGGTTGATGCTCAACCGCACCCGAGACATCTCCCGCCAGGCCCTCTGCTACATGGGTCGCGACACGCCCCTCCCTCTCTCCCCTCCCTCCGCCCTCTCTGCTTCCGCGAACACCACCGCTGCTGCTGCCGCTGCTGCTGCTGGTGCTGCTGGGAATGGTGCGGCGGTTGCTGCTAGTGGTGGTGTCAAAATCAGTGGGTTGGGTACCGGTAATGGTGGGGCTACGTCTAATGGCAGTGTTGCCACCAGTGGCGGTGTTGCCACTAATTGCAGTGTTGCTACTAGTGGCAGCCTTACTATATATGGCAATGGGAATGGCGCTGCTGCTGCTTCCGTTGCTGCTAGCAGTAATGTTCGGGCAAGTGTGGCAGCAGCTGGTCAGGCCAATGGCAAACCAGTGGGGTTAGTAAACGGGCAGGTGAACGGACGGGTGAATGGGCAGGTGAACGGGCAGGTGAACGGGCAGGTGATTCAACAGGTGAACGGGCAGGTGAACGGGCAGGTGATTCAACAGGTGAACGGGCAGGTGAACGGGCAGGTGAACCGGCAGGTGAACGGACGAGTGAACGGGCAGGTGAACGGGCGGGTGAATGGGCAGGTGAACGGGCAGATGAACGGGCGGGTGAACGGGCAGGTGAACGGGCAGATGAACGGGCGGGTGAACGGGCAGGTGAACGGGCAGGTGAACGGGCATATGAATGCTGCAATGCATGGGTTTACTGTGGGAGGGACGAAGGCGCAGGCACAGGAGACAGGCACAGCAGCCGCAGGAGCAGCAGCAGCAGCAGCAGCAGCAGCAGCAGCAGCAGCAGCAGCAGCAGCAGGGGCGGCAAAAGGGATGGCGGCGCGGGCGTGCGATGTGAGGAGACGGGAGCGGTTCCTGCGGCACGTGCAGGCGTTCCCTCTGGTGTGCAAGCACCACTTCCTGGCGGAGGGCAGCCTACAGACGGACCTGCTGGTATGAAGGGCTGTGGGGTGAGGTTCACAGGGAGATGTGGGGATAAGGCGGAGAGAAGGGAGAGGGTGGGTGGTAGAGGGATGTCTGGGTTGAGAGGGTGGGGGCACGTGCAGGCGTCCCCTCTGGTGTGCAAGCACCACTTCGTGGCGGAGGGCAGCCTACAGACGGACCTGCTGGTGAGCGTGGTGTGGTATATTGAGGGCTCATGGGGTGGGGTGAGGAGGCTCTGGCGTTCCCACTGGTATGCAAACACCACTCTGTGGCCCGTGGGGAGAGGGGTGATGGGCAGATGTTGATGGGAAGATGTGGGGCTATGGAGAAGTGAGAAGAGGGTGGGTGGGAGAGAGATCCACAACAGATGTGGAGAGAGGGTGGGGGCATGTACATGCGTGGTAATGCATCACTTCGTCCCCTGCCGGAAACCATGCACCCAACAGCTTACCCTCCCTACCTCCCTCCCTCCTCCCTCCCTCCCTCCCCCTCCCTCCCTCCCTCCCTCCCTCCCTCCCTCCCTCCCTCCCTACCTACCTACCTACCTCTCTCCTTCCCTCCTTCCCCTCCGTCCTTCCCTCTCCCGTTCCCCTCCCTCTCCACCGCTATTCCTGCGGTCCATGGGATCAGGAGCACACATCGCTGAGGCCGGGGGAAGTGGAGGGCGTGCTGGGAGCGGTGCATCGACCCAACTACGTGCTGCAGGTGCTGGCCGAGTGCATGCGCTCCTGCGCCTCCCTGCACCCCATGCACCGCCTCGCCATGGTGAGCATCACACCCCCACCCCCCCCCCAACCCCCCCCCCCCCGCCCCCCATTTTTGCTGCTGATGATGATAGTGCTGATGGTTCTGGGGGCGCCGCTGCTGCTTTCCTGTCATTGTCACAACCCGCCGCTGCTGATGGTTCATGATGATAGCTACCTTTGCCGACGACGTGGGGGGCTGCGAGCGCATATTCAAGACGCCCATCCCCATCTTCTATACCACCATCCCTTTTTCTCCTCCACCTGCTGCAGTAGGACCTCAAACCTGACTCCCCCCATCATCACATCCCCTCAATGCGTCCATCCCCTCCCCTTCCCCATTCCCCCTTTACCCTTCCCCCTTCCCCCTCAACCCCCACCCCTCGCCCCCACAGGAGGCCAACCTAGCTACGTTTGCGGACGACGTGGGGGGCTGCGAGCGCATATTCAAGACGCCCATCCCCATCTCCTACACCACCATGACGTCGCGCTTCCTCTTCCTCTTCCACCTGCTCCTCCCTCTCTGACCCATGTGGGCTGCTCACGCTGCCCGTCGCGCTGCTCTCGCCTCCTACCCCTTGCCCCACACCCCTCTCCCCGTTCCCCCTCTCCCCCTTCCTCCTCTCCCCATTCCCCCTCCCCCCTTCGCCTTTCGCCTGTGTCTTGCCCCTCAGGAAGCTAACCTGGCAACCTTTGCGGACGACGTGGGGGGCTGTGAGCGCATATTCAAGACGCCCATCCCCATCTCCTACACCACCATGACCTCGCGCTTCCTCTTCCTCTTCCACCTGCTGCTCCCCCTCGGCCTCTGGGACTCGTGCGGCCTGCTCACGCTGCCCGTGGCGCTGCTCTGTGCGCTCGTGTTTTTCTCCGTGGACGAGGTTGGGATTCTTATCGAGAACCCCTTTCTCATTCTCGCGCTTGATGCCATTGCCAAGTCCGCTCGTGATAACGTGGAGGTAAGTTGGGCATTTTTATTCTGGAGGTTTGTGTGTGGTGGGGAGGGGAGGAGGGGCAACGGGGGGGTGGGGGGGGGTGGAGGAGCGTGGGGGAAGGGGAAGGAGGGAAAGGGAGGGAAGGTGGGGGAGTTCGTGGGTGCACCTCAGCACACCGCTGGTCTGGTTTGCACCTGAGGACGCCACTGCCCGTGGCGCTGCTGTCTGTGCTTGTGTTTTTCTCCGTGGATGAAGTTGGGATTCTGATCGAGAACCCGTGTCTCATTCTGTGAGAGACTTTTGAGACGTTCCATAAACACAACAGGTCCCTCCCCCCACTCCCCTCCTCACGCCCGCTTCCCCTTCCCCTCCCTCTGCAGGAAATGAAGGAGTCTCAGGCACACATTGCAGCACACATGGTGGGCAATGATGAGGCGATGAGGAGGGAGTACCAGCCGGGGTTGCCACAGACCATGCCTGTGGCCGATGTTCGAGACGTCTCATAAACATTCCACCCCCACCCACGCCCATTTCCGCTTTCCTCCCCCATTGGCAGGAGATGAAGGTGTCTCAGGCGCGCATCGCAGCACTCGTGGTGGGAAATGATGAGGCGATGCGGAGGGAGTACCAGCTGGGGGTGCCACAGGCTGTGCCTGTGAGCGACTTGCTGCACAGGCCCGCTCAAAGCACGCAGCAACATCAGCAGCAGCAGAAGCAGGAGGAGGAGAGGGTGGAGCAGAGGAGGCTGGTAGGAAAACGGACAAGAGGCGTGGAACGGGTGTATGCAGGAGGTAAAGGGAAGGCTCTTGTTGGAGGAGTGAAGGGCTTTTATAGTGACTGGAACCGGGAGTGATTCGAGGATTTTTGTTCCCTTTGTAAGTAGCGGTTTGATGCATTATTGTGGGTTTCTTTGGGCCTGCTTGCACTGTAAATGTTGTGTGCCGAGTTGTTTATGATTTTGGTGTCCAAACTGAATGTGATTATGTGATTTTTGTATGCAATATTGTAATTGCAATATTTGTAATTTCTGTTAATTAACTTTAAAAAATACACTATAGAATAGATAACAGATGTAGGATTGCTATGAGCACTCCGAATCATGGCTCTAAACGAGACTCTGGGCAGCCATGCCCATCAGTACGGCAAGTACGGCACTAGACTTCCCCCCCCTCTTGGCCCACCTTCTGTACGGAAAACCGTACGGGTTGCGCGAGCGAGAACAACTCCCAGTTTCCGTACGGACAACTCTGTATAGTCGCCTCTCTCGCTTCGCAACTGGTGACGTCTCGACACGGAAACTCGGGGCCGTGACGTGACTCGTGTCTCGTGAGTGGTCGTGACGTTCTCCACCAGCTGGGGTCTGGGGGACCAGCCTCCCACGATTCGTTGGTTGGGGGGCGGACGTCCCAGATTTCCGGATTCCGTCCGTAACGGAACGTACGTTAGAGCATTACAGGAGCTTGGGCGTACGGTTGCCCAATTCGTTCGGGCCAAAAGGAAGGCCGATGCCCTTGCCCCCGTCACTGCCATCTCGCCCACCCGACCCGCCTCGCGAGGAAACCGAGGCCTTCCTTAGGTAACGGCTCCTGACTGGGACGCCGACGTCCCAGAGAGTCCCAGATAACGGAACGTACGGACGGACGTCAACATTTTGACTGGGGTGTTCGTCAAATGACTGCTGAACTCAGCATAACCTTCTGGTTATTTCTTCTGGTGAGACTGCTGAAGAATCGGACGACCGAGTCGAAACGAAAACGCCTGCTCTGCTGCCGAGCAAACGCGTGCTCCTTAGCTTGGAGTTGTGTCTCTTTCCGCCTCTCGAAATCACCATCAGTCGATTTTTCCAGGACGGCAACGCTGATAGGCTGCTTTTCAGAGTTCTACTTTGACTTACTGCGTGTTCGTCAAATCGCTGCTGACCTCAGCATTTCTTCTGGTACGGACAGTCTTCTGGTACGGACAGCTGAAGAATCGGCGAGGTCTTGCGAAAATGATGCCTGCTGCCGAGCAAACGTCTGCTCTGTCTTGGAGTTCCGTCCGTCCCCTTCTTGCAAGAACCAGCAGTGGGTTGCATTTCATGGATCAACAGCACAGTTACTGTCCTTCTGGTTACTGTCCTGCCAGAAGCAGTGAGTTTATCTTGGGTTACAAACACCATGGCAGCCTCAGCTGCTCGCAGCGCTCCTGTTGTAGAAATCGCTCGTCGTCAATCACGATTGCTGGGAGCTTCAGTACTGTTGTTGAGTCCGCTGCTCTCGGTCACAGCAACAGCTCACTATCATACTTATTGGTCAGATGATCCAACCTCCTTCAAAGGAAAATTTCCGTCAACTGACGGCCGTCAAGGTTCGTTCGTCAAATCTACAAAACCACCAACCTTCGTCACGGGTAGCGACGGGACACCAACCGAACGTTATAACGACGCGGCGCGCAATAGCCCAGCCCGGCCGTCCAGCGGCCGTTATCATCCGTTAACTAGCAGTGGAAGGAGACTGCCGCCGTCAGCTTGCGATCCGCTTCTGGAGCTGATTCTGCCGTGCGAGGAATGGGAGGGGTGTGACAGGGATGGTGTGACAGAAACGGGGGGGGAGATGGAGTTGGAGGAGGGGAGCGGCGAGAGGGAGGAGGAGAGAAAGGAGTTTGACCGTGGCGCTGCACGGGACGCGGCGAATGATGAGAACGATGAGGAGGAGGAGGAGGAGGAGGAGGAGGAGGAGGAGGAGGAGGAGGAGGAGGAGGAGGAGGAGGAGGAGGAGGAGGAGGAGGGAGGAGGAGGAGGAGGAGGAGGAGGAGGAGGAGGAGGAGGAGGAGGAGGAGGAGGAGGAGGAGGAGGAGGAGGAGGAGGAGGAGGAGGAGGAGGAGGAGGAGGAGGGAGGAGGAGGAGGAGGAGGAGGAGGAGGAGGAGGAGGAGGAGGAGGAGGATGAACCAGAGGAGGAAGCGGAGGAGGAGGATGATATAAACGATTATGTCTTTAGGGAGATCCATGCGTGGGAGGGAGAAGGCAGTGTCCCAGGGGAAGGCAGTGTCCCAGGGGAAGGCAGTGTCCCAGGGGAAGGCACTGTCCCAGGGAAAGAGCAGAATGAGTCCATGCCCATGGGTTTTGAGGGCCGCATTGCGGGTGGTGAGGGCATTGCGGGTGGTGGGAGAGTGGGAGGCGTGAGGGGAGTGAGGCGAGGAGGAACGGGTGGAGTTCCCAAGGGGATCAGAAGAGGCGGGAGGACAGCCCATGGGAGACGAAGACTGGTGGACGGATGGATGGCAGGGCGACCGGAGAAGACCGAGAGAACAGCGATTGAGAAGCCAGGCAGGAGGAGGAGGAGGGGGAGGAGGAGGAGGAGGAGGAGGAGGAGGCTGGGGAATGATGGGTGGGCGGCGGGGCCATGGGAGAGGAAGCCACGTCAGCGTTTCGGTGGCGGAACGAGGCGGGGAACGAGGAGGATATGCTGACGCACGGCCAGGGCTACTACCAATGGCAGTGGCCCGTGGCGCGGCTGGGCGACAGCTGGCGCGGCATGTTCATGCGGGGCGATGCCCTGTACGACATCAAGGTAAGTGACGATAAGTAAAGTGCTTAGCTAATGGGAGTGCTGCTGCTGCTGCTGCTGCTGCTGCTGCTGCTGCTGCTGCTGCCAGGAATGGATATTCCGAGAAACGTCACTGCCTCGGCCGTCACTGACACGACCGTCACTGGGCTGGGCGGCTGCTGGTGCGGCATGTTTATGCGGGGCGATGCCCGGTACGACATCAAGGTGAGTGCGGCTAAGGGTCCAAAGATTTGCTCACTTACAAGGGCGGATGCTGGTGCGGCATGTTCATGCGGGGGGAACGCCCGGTACGAAGGCGGGGTAAGTCGTGAGTTGACTCAAAACTTGACTGGGCCCCTGGCGAGGCTGTGTCCCTGGCGAGGCTGTGTCCCTGGCGAGGCTGTGTCCCTGGCGAGGCTGTGTCCCTGGCGAGGCTGGGTGCCGGCTGCCGCGGCAAGTTCATGCGGGGCGAGGGCCGGCCGGATGGGCATGGCGTCGTGAGGTAAGTGACGGTAAGCGAAGTCGGTTGAAGTGGGTTGCTTGCTACTAGTGCAACGTTGCTACTAGCAGTCCCAGTGAATCAGCACTGCGCTGCGCGGCTGCTAGTAGTAGTAGAGGCCGGGAGACGGAAGAGAGACAGGATGGCGACAGCTGCTGGGCATCGTTCATCGTGTCGTGTCGTGTGTGTGGGAGGAGTGGGCTTTGGGACCACAGTGGTTCGCACTTAACTAAGTATTCTAGGACTCCTCACCTCCTCTCTCTGCCTTCGGGGGTTTCGTCGAGCCGCTCGTGTGGTAGGGGCTCCTCCTCACCTCACCTCCCCTCTCTGCCCTCTCCGTCCCTTTCTCCGCTTCCTCCCCTTTCTCTCCCCTTCTTAAAGGACTCTCCCTCTTGCCAGGTCATCCTCCCTGTGCGAGCCTAGCCTGTACTTATACCAACCTCCCCGTTTTCGGCCTCGACTCTCCTCCTCTCACCTTCTTCTCCTCCCCTCCCCTCCCCTCCCCTCCCCTCCCCTCCCCTCCCCTCCCCTCCCCTCCCCTCCCCTCCCCTCCCCTCCCCGCCCCGCCCCCACAGAGCACCCCCTCGTGCAAGGGCATCTTCTCAAGGAACGCTGGCGCGCGAACCTATGCCAACCTTCCCGTTCTCGGCATTTCCTCTCCTCCTCTCACTTCCTTCTCCTCTCCCTCCTCCCTTCTCGTCCCCTCCCCTCCCCCACAGAACACCCCCTCGTGCAAGGGCATCCTGCCCGCGCCAGCCTACACCAGCCTCCCGGTTCTCGGCCGCGAATCTCGTACTCTCATCCTCCCTCTCCCCTCCCTTTCTCCCCCTCCCCCCCTTTTCTCCCATTCTTACAGAACACCCCTTCCTGCAAGGGCATCCTCCCCGCGCGCGCCTACACCAACCTTCCGGTTCTCGGCCGCGACGCCAACGAAACAGAGCTCTCGCTGCTCGGCGCGCTGCAGCGCAAGCTGGAGAAGAACGAGACGGTACCTCAAGACTTGCTAGATTCCGCGCCCAAGGAACGCTGGCTGGTGTTCGTGCCGCGGTTTGGCCTGGGGAACACCCTGCGCGGGTACATTTCGACATTTATTTTCGCCTTGCTCTCGGGAAGGAGGCTTCTGCGCTGGCATGGGGGGCCGCACAAGAAGGTGAGGCGTGCACGTGGCATGCTGAGAGGGTGAGGAATGGATGTGCGTATTGGGGCGTGTGGCATGGTACGGTATAGGGGTCTTCACACGGTATTGAGTCGACTCAAAAGTCAACGTGGTCATACGGTAAGACTTGCGATCATCATGGGTGACCAGGAGTGATGAGAGTATAGCCAAGCCAATGGGTCATAGCTTTACGGCACTTCCTTCCTTCTCTCTTGCACCACCTCCCTTGTCTCTCCTGCACCACCTACCTCCCTTGTATCTCGTTCAATCCACTGTGCCTGCCTACTTTATCCAGACACAATCGCACGTTCCCCTCTTCCTATAAGTAAGTTGCTTGCGGATTAGGATTTCCCCATGTAGCCGATTACTGTATGTAGCACCTCTTGAGTCGACTCAAAAGTTGGTCAAATACTGTAGCGCCCCAAAGCAGAGTTGCTGAATATCAAGATCGGATTTCAAAACGTTCTAGATTAGACTTGCACAACGTGAAATCACTGTCCCTCCCTGCCTGCACCGTTTTTTTCCCTGCACTTGCATCCCTTGCAACTCCTTCCCTCCATCCTCACGTTTCTCAGGTGCTAAACAATCTATGTGACGCATTCTATTGTGGGATAGACGAGTTGCACTATAATGGGGACATCCGCAAGCATGGAAGGCTTATCGACGCCATAACCCTGGAGGTTATTTATGGACTTGAATACAGCCCAACCGTTGTGGCTGTCTATTCAGGTATGTTTCTCGCTCCATCGATGTATGCAAGTGGATGCGAGTGTACTGCGCTGGATGATTCTTTACAGACAACTCAAAGATTCCTTAGGAAATTCCTTTCGTGCTCGCACCCCACCCACCCCACCCCACCCCTTCCATTCCATTTCTCTCAGGTTACTTCTTCGACAAGTTCTGGCGCAAAAACCCCGAAATCAACCAGTGCGTGCATGACGCCTTGGGCTGCACCCCACCCCACCCCACCCCACCCCACCCCACCCCACCCCACCCCACCCCACCCCTTCCATTCCATTCCTCCCAGGTTATTTCTTTGACAAGTTCTGGCGCAAGAACCCCGAGATCAACCAGTGTGTGCACGACGCCTTCGGCTGCACCTCCCTGTGGTGCATCCGCGCCAAAGTGCTCTCTCTCCTCCTCGGCAACGGCCCCAGGCCGGGGGTGCAAGAGGTGGTTGATAGGGACCTCAGGGTGGTGCCGCCGCTGGTGCCCCCGTTGGTGCTCCGAGGGGAAGAGGTGGGGATGAAGGAGGGGGAGGTCACAGGAGGCAAGGGCCCCAGGCCAGGGGTGCAAGAGGTGGTTGATAGGGACCTCAGGGTGGTGCCGCCGCTGGTGCTCCCAGGGGGACGGGTGGGAATGGAGGAGGGGGAGGCGGAAGCAGGGAAGGCGGAAGGAGGGAAGGCGGAAGGAGGGAAGGCGGAAGGAGGGAAGGCGGAAGGAGGGAAGGCGGAAGGAGGGAAGGTGGAAGCAGGGAAGGTGGAAGCAGGGAAGGTGGAAGCAGGGAAGGTGGAGCCTCAGCTAGTGGAGAAAGGGGAGGGGCTCAGGTTGCAGTTTGATGTGTCGATTCACATCCGCGGATTCTCAATGTGAGTGGGCTTAAATTTATGGTTGTAATTTGCTGTCCAATTCTGACTACAACGTTTTTTTTTCTTCTTCTTTTTCTTTTTGAAAGTCGCAGCAGGCAGAGTTCTCTCGTGCAAGTGTTCTGACAATTCTATCTCTCACTACATCTCTTTGCCCTTTTAGAAATGTGGAGGGTATTCGCTGTGCCAAAGAGGACAGCGCATGCCGGGAGCAAGCGCAGCAGGCGGAGTTGTCTCGAGCGCATGACATGATGAGGCCCGGCCAGTGGCGCTGCATTGCCCGCCTCTTGCAGTTCCTTCGCATTAAGAAGGCCGCTGCAGGAGGCTTCACTGATGCTACTGCTACAGCCGCTGCTGGCCAGCAAGCCAACGCTACAGCCGCTACAGCCGCTGCTGACCAGCAAACCAACGCTACAGCCGCTGCTGACCAACAAGCCAACGCTACAGCTGCTGGTGGCCAGCAAACCAACGACACAGCCGGTGCTGCTGACCAGCCAGCCGACGCTACAGCTGTTACAATCACTGCTGGCCAGCAAGCCAATGCTACAGCCGCTACAGCCGCTGCTGACCAAAAAGCCAACGATACAGCCGGTGCTGACCAGCTAGCCAACGCTACAGCCGCTAAAATCACTGCTGGCCTGAAAGCCAACTCTACAGCCGCTGCTGACCATCAAGCCAACACTGCAGCCGCTAAAATCACTGCTGACCAGCAAGCCAACGATACAGCCGGTGCTGACCAGCTAGCCAACGCTACAGCCGTTACAATCACTGCTGGCCAGCAAGCCAATGCTACAGCCGCTACAGCCGCTGCTGACCATCAAGCCAATGCTACAGGTGCTGCTGACCAGCAAGCCAACGCTACAGAGACCAATGGTGGGAAGCCGAATGGTTTTGCAACTCGTGGTGCCGCCAACGCGTCCGGTGAGACAAGCAAAGGTACAGCAAAGCTTACATGGGTCCTAGGACTTCTCGTAATTGTAAGTTATGCGTGAACTAAATCGTATGCGTATGTACGCATGAATACGCATAGCATATGCAAGAAGAAAATAAAGTGAGGCGGAAAAAGAAAAGAAGCGTGCGTACTGGTTCATTGGAGGATTGATGTGCTAAGGTTGTTTAAGAGTCTACAAAACTGGACAGGATATGTAAAGACACTTTGTAGGAAAAGCAGGCTGACAAGGTGAGAGAAAGGTTGGAGCTGGTACATAGAGCCAGCTCCCCTCAGATTCTGTGAGTTAAGAAAGGAGGTTTCTACACGCAACACAGCAATTTTAACAACCTTACATAAAGGACAGTTTATGGCAGCCCAAGGAACCCCAAACCTGCCTGCGAGTGCACTTATGCTGTGCTTGCGTAATGTGCAACGTATACGTAAGAGTACTCGTAACATCCGACTACGCAGCAAGCGAAGAGCAATTGAATCAAGCAATCAGCAAATACTGCAAGCAAGTAGCAACGAAGTCAAGGGGACAGAGACAACAGGCCTTCTAACATCACGACACTCACCATCACCCCATTCACCATCACCCCATTCACCATCACCCCATTCACCATCACCCCATTCACCATCACCCCATTCACCATCACCCCATTCACCATCACCCCATTAACCATCACCCCATTCACCATCACCCCATTCACCATCACCCCATTCACCATCACCCCATTCACCACCACCCCATTCACCACCACCCCATTCACCACCACCCCATTCACCACCACCCCATTCACCATAGCCCGTGCATCCTTTTACTTCACCCCCACTGCTTCTTTCTATCCCCTTCGGATCTCCCGTCTACCCCATCCCCGCTTCAGAACCGGATTCTCTCTCTATTGCTGATCATTCACCTTTCCCTCTTCCCAACCCCACCCACACATCCACCCACCCTTTTGGCAGCTTCAATTAACCGACGGCGGCTCTTTGAGAATGTACAGCAGAATGTTAAAGTGCAAGCAGGGAGTAACCTGGAAAGGAGAAGGAAGCTTCAGGACAGGAAAAGGCTGCAGGACGAATGGACGGTTGACGATTCGTCTTTTATTGCCTCCATCGTGCCACCTGGCGGCCCCTCAGCCACTCATCTAGGCCACCTGAGAATCTTTGTGGCTACAGATTCAGATTTAATTCGATCGCAAGTGGTGGAGATCTTACGACCTTTTGGCGAGGTGTATTTTATGGTTTCACCCGCAGTTCACTTGGATAAGGCTAGCACGGGTCATCTGGCAACGTTGGCTGATTTTGTGCTTCTCAGCAAAGGGGCGGCGTTGGCAAGCTTTAACCGGTACATCAGCACGTTTGCATTATTTGCGAGCATGCTGGGTAATGGGACACTTGTGGCTGATCCTGCGCGCGAGCACACTTGTCGGTTCCTTGTGGAGCATATGGGAGAGTTATGGCCTTGAACTATCAGAGTAGTATGTGCTAAATATGTGTACTATTCTTTTCCTTCCTTAGTTTGCATTGCATCGCATACTTCTAGCTGGCCAAAATCTGCTTCCAAGCAACAACAAACTGCAATAATGGTAAACGGCACAAAAGAGAAGAAAATAAGAAGAGACTGCAAATCATAAGTTGCATTTTGTTAAGGTTCACAACAAAGAGTGTCAAACATATATGCTGCATATTGTCTAGGCTGTAGTGGGGTAGCCCATATGGGGTACAGCCCAATTAGGGTTTACTACTTGTACTCCTGCATGCTGCTAGTTCATTCATTCCTGCTGCTAGATTCTGACATGGTATCAGAGCACTAAGGTCCGTAGGACCGTTTTTTTCGGGCCCACCTACCGCTGCGGTTACCGCGCTACCCCACGTACCTGCCTGCCTTGCCTTGCCTTGTGACGTGCTGCACTATGTGCGCCGTCCAGCAGCCCTAGCGCTGCCTCCTGCTGCCCTAGGCCAGCGCGCTGCCCCTAGAGGCCCGTAAGGCCCACGCGCCGCCCCTAGAGGCCCGTAAGGCCCGCGCAGCCCGCTGCAGCCGCGCGCAGCCCGCACAGAGAACGAGCAGCCCGCGCCGAGCCGCGCGCAGCCCGCTGCAGCCGCGCGCAGCCCGCACAGAGCCCACGCAGCCCGCGCCGAGCCGCGCACAGCCCGCTGCAGCCGCGCGCAGCCCGCACCGAGCCGCGCGCAGCCCGCTGCAGCCGCGCGCAGCCCGCAGCTGCCGCGCGCAGCCCGCGCCGAGCCCACGCAGCCCGCGTCGAGCCGCGCGCGGCCTGCTACGGCCTCGCGAGGCCCGCGCGCGGCCCGCAGCAGCCCGCGCCGAGCCGCGCGCGGCCTGCTACTGCCTCGCGCGGCCCGCGCGCGGCCCGCAACAGCCCGCGCCGAGCCGCGCGCGGCCCGCTACTGCCTAGCGCGGCCGCGCGCGGCCTGCAGCAGCTCAGCGCGCTGTCAGCGCAGCCCGCGCCGAGCCGCGCGCGGCCCTCTGCCTCGGCCACGACCTGCCGCTGATGCGGCCCCGCCCTGCAGCTACCACGGCCCCGACCTGCCGCTGATGCGGCCCCGCCCTGCAGCTGCCACGGCCCCGACCTGCCGCTGACGCGGCCCCACCCTGCTACTGCCGCTGAAGCGGCCCCGCCCTGCAGCTGCTTCGGCCCTGCTCTGCAGCCGGTTTTGCGGCCCCGACGCCGCCGCTGTCGTGCGCCTACTCGGCCGCCGCCCGTCGAGCGCCGGCCCTGCTCGCCCGGTGAGCGCCTGCTCTCCCAGCCTTTGGTGAGCGCCTGCCTGCCTGCCTGACGGCCTGCCTGCCTGCCTGCCTGCCTGCCTGCCTGCCGGCCTGGCTGCCTGCCTGCCTGCCGGCCTGCCTGCCTGCCTGCCTGCCTGCGCGACTGCCTGCCTGCCTGCCGGCCTGCCTGCCTGCCTGCCGGCCTGCCTGTCTGTCTGCTTGCCTGCCTGCCTGCCTGCCTGTCTGCCTGCCTGCCTGCCTGCCTGGCTGCCTGCCTGCCTGCCGGCCTGCCTGCCTGCCTGCCTGCCTGCTTGCCTGCCTGCCTGCCGCGCCTGCCTTGCCCGCGCTACTGCTGCTGCTACTGCTACTGGCAGGTGGCCAGATGCAGCTCCAGCGACGTTCACGCGAGCCTCTGACGCCCCAGCAGCTTAGTGAGTGGTATACTAGCTGGGGTTGCCGTAGTAGCCGTCGTAGCTGTCGCCCTGGAGCTGGTCAGTTGGGAGCGTCTGGCAGTGGCCAGCTGCAGCTGCAGGGGCGTCCACGTGAGACACTTACGCCCCGGCAGCTCCAGGAGTGGTACGCTCAGTGTAGCAGGTCTACGCGTACAGTTCGCTGCCCGTACGTCATTCGCACAGGTACTAGGACTAGTCAGCCTTGTGGGACGCTTGGTCACACACAGTCCTGCTGCTTCGCCCGTCTGAGCGACGACTGGCGCACAGTGTTTGGCGACGAGGCTGAGCTCCCCACCTGGCTGGAGCTGCATGGACAGAGGGTAGATATCTTTGCGCTTGACTATGATGCTATTCTCACTGCCATGTATGCATTGCCTACTAGTGCTGACCGTGCCTGTTATCTGTGCGTACCGCCTGACCCTGGTGAGGCTGCTGCTCTAGGTGCTAGTGCGTCTCCTGCTCTAGGTGCTGGTGAGGCTGCTGCTCTCGGTGCTAGTACGTCTACTGCTCTAGGTACTGGTGAGGCCGTGGCTTCAGGTGCTGGTGAGTCTGCTCTCTCTGGTACTGCGCCAACTACGGTCTCGCACACCTTCACCCTTGACTCAGGAGCTTCTCGCTCCTTCTTTCGCGACTGCACCACACTCACGCCGCTTAGTCGGCCAGTTCCAGTCTCCCTGGCGGACCCCTCCGGGGGTCCAGTCCTTGCCCACTACTCCACGGTTCTGCCGTGTCCGGCCGTCCCGTCCGGCTCGCTGTCAGGTCTTTACCTCCCCTCGTTCTCTACGAACTTGGTGAGTGGAGCTGACCTCCAGGATCGGGAGGTTGACCAGTTCACTCCTGCGAGTCAGCGAGTGACTCACTGTACGTGTGCTAGGACGGGCCGGCACTTGGCCACGTTCACCCGTGCACCTGGCTCGAGTCTGTACACACTGACCACTGAGTCCCCTCAGGTGGCTGCGTCTGCGTCTACGTCTGGTCAGCTGGCGGCCCCCTGCGAGTGTCGCGCTTTGTCGCACGACACTCTCCTGTGGCACCACCGCCTTGGTCACCCCTCCTTGCCTCGCCTGCATAGCATGCACTCTCGCTCCCTGGTCTCTGGTCTTCCCAGGTCCCTGCCTGCCCTCCCTCCCTCGCCTGCGCCGCCCTGCATTCCTTGCGTCGAGGGGCGGCAGCGCGCCGCTCCTCACTCCTCCTCGTTTCCTCCCACAGAGGCTCCACTGCAGACGCTCCACCTGGACGTGTGGGGCCCAGCCCGCGTCCAGGGACAGGGCCGCGAGCGGTACTTCCTGCTGGTTGTCGACGACTACACGCGTTACACCACGGTCTTCCCCTTGCAGAGCAAGGGGGACGTCCCTGATGTTTTGATCCCTTGGATCCGCGCTGTTCGTCTCCAGCTCCGCGAGCGGTTCCGGCGGGACTTTCCTGTCCTGTGTCTGCACTCTGACAGAGGTGGTGAGTTCTCCTCTGACCTCTTGGCAGCCTACTGTGCGGAGCACGGCATCACCCAGTCGTTCACGCTTCCGGCCTCTCCACAGCAGAATGGGGTTGCTGAGCGTCGCATTGGCTTAGTCATGGAGGTCGCTCGTACCTCCATGATCCATGCGGCTGCCCCCCATTTCCTGTGGCCGTTTGCGGTCCGGTACGCCGCGCATCAGCTCAACCTCTGGCCCCGTGTCTCCTTGCCGGAGACCTCGCCCACACTGCTGTGGACGGGGAAGGTTGGTGATGCGTCGCGTTTCCGGGTCTGGGGTGCTCGTGCCTTTGTCCGCGATACCACCGCGGACAAGCTCTCCGCCCGCGCTGTTCCCTGTGTCTTCCTTGGCTTTGTCCCTGACGCGCCTGGTTGGCAGTTTTACCATCCCACCTCGCGCTGTGTCTTTGCGTCTCAGGACGTCACGTTCGACGAGTCGGTTCCCTTTTACCGTCTCTTCCCCTACCACACTGCCCCGCTCCCCCCCCCGCCGCTCTTCCTCGCTCCAGGTGCTCCCCAGGTAGACCCCCTCCCCACTCCTGGTCCTGCTCCTTCAGGTGTTTCTTAGGTAGACCCTCCTCCCTTGACTGCGCCGGTTGAGGTCACTGGTGACTCAGGTCCTACTGAGGGTGGTCCTTCTCGGGGTGCTACTTCTAGGGGTGCTGAGCCTGGGGGTGCGGAGCCTGGGGGTGCTGAGCCTGGGGGTGCTGAGCCTGAGGGTGCGGAGCTTGAGGGTGTGGAGCCTGGTGGTGCTGAGCCTGAGTGTGAGGGGTCTGGGGGTGCTGAGCTTGGCGGTACTGACGCTGGAGGTTCTGGAGCTACTGAGGGTGCTGGCGCTGGAGGTTCGGGAGCTGCTGGAGGGCCTAGTACTGGTGGCGCTGGAGCTGGAGGTTCTGGAGCTGCTGAGGGTGCTCGCGCTGGAGGTTCTGGAGCCGCTGGAGGTACAGGTGCTGAGGGTACTGACACCGGAGGTTCTGGAGCCGTTGGGGGTGCGGGCGCTGAGGGTTCTGAGTCTGCTGTTGCGCGGTCTCCTTGGAGTAGCCGCCTTCGTCCACGTGTGCCTCTCACCCCACAGCAGCTGCAGGACTGGTACGGTCGCCGTCAGCGTCGCGCTGCTGGAGCTAGGAGTGGTGCTGGACCTTTGTCTACTGGAGGTGCTGGAGTCGCTGGTTCTGGAGGTGCTCGTACTGGAGACACTGAGGCTGGAGACCCTGGGACTGGAGGTGCTGGTTCTGGGGGTGCTGCTGCTGGAGACACAGAGGTTGGAGACCCTGGGACTGGAGGTGTCGGCTCTGGGACTGGAGCTTCTGGAGCTGCTGGAGGTACTGGAGCTGCTGGAGGTACTGGAGCTGCTGGAGGCACTGGAGCTGCTGGAGCTGCCGGTACTGGTGCAGCTGCGCCGACACGACTGTTCTTCGCTCCGCCGTCTCCGTCGTCTCTGCCGCCGTCTGACTCTGTTCTTCGTCAGGTTCTTACTCTCCCGTCGTCTACTGGTCTTCCGTTACAGCCTGGCTCACTGCTGCCTGCTCCTTCTCCTTACACTGAGCAGACTGGTAGTCCTGCTGAGCGTCGTGAGCCTGCGTCGCGTCCTGTTTCGCCTATTCGTCCTGGTCGCACCGGTCGTCGTGTTCCTCGTTCGCGTCAGCCGGCTGTCCCCAGCGCACACCTCGTAGTCCGTCATCCTTCCTCTGCTCCGCAGCCTGTTCCTCTGCCGTCTCCTCCTGCGTCCTCTTTGCCTGACGTTCCGGACCCTGCGTCTGACCGGTTTCGTGCTGAGCACCCTACTGTCACGCGTCTACTAGCCACTGTTGTCACTGACCC